GACAAGTGCACTATTTTTAATTATAGGAAATGCGTTTTTCTAAGGTACATCAACTTTTGGGATTGACTATATAGCCAATACATTCTTAACAAGCACTCGGCGGGGTATTTGGAATTTGGATAATGGTGTTCGGTGACGAGCGTCGGGACGTAATAATGGACGTTCGGGCATGGAATGCTCCGTACCACTTTCTCCCGGAATCCTCGATATCCCGGCAACGAATACGATCCGTGTAAAAAATCCAAGTATCGTCGAGTGCACCGAAACGGCCGCGTATCAAATTGGAACACCGATCGATAGGGCGGCCGGAATCCGATCGAAAAAGATCACCCCCCACCTCCATCTCCTTCCGGCCGATCTAATTGAGTAAGAACGCGAACGGAACCGAGTCAAAGTCCTCCGCGGTCAAGCTCGGGGTCGAGCGGTTCTCCCGAGCTGGAATCTGGAATCGGCATTTTCCAGCATACGCCGCCGTGCGCCGATCGAACCGGGACGCGACCGATAGCATCTCTTCTCCCTTCTCGTCTCTTTTCTTCCGACGCGTGGCTGCGACCGGCCCGTCAGATAAAGTGTTTGTTGCCGCAGTCGATGCCACGCAACGCGACCGACCTCTTTATTTTAGTTTTATTCAGCATCGGTTCGCTGGCTGCGTCGGTGACACGGTATCTTCGAATACTCCCGCTTTTAAGTGATCGCCGCGAAGGGAATATATTTTCCGCGGAATCTATGGAAAAACGTTAGATACGAAACGCCGGCACGATCTTTGTTGAAAATAGTTTAAAGAATCCGACGAGACGTCGATCCGCAAAGCGTGCAACCGCTCCCTCCCACGCTCTCGACGTAACGCAATGACGAATGGCATCAGCGATCCTCTCGATTCTTTTCGAGCGCGTACCTTTCCTATGCGTAACGAGCGTAGATCCGCTCACTCGATTCGCGGTCTATCTTATCGCTTTCCAAGATTCTTTCGCTGCGCAAGATTCGTTCCTCGCGAGAGATCGGGGAAGGGATCGACGTCGCGGGCGAAAATTTTCATCGAACCATCCGGATAATCGAATCGGCACGTCGCCGCTGTGCGCGTCGAACAGAGAGACAGAGAAAGATAGAGAAAGAGTGAGAAACACTCCGACCGAGTTCTCCGTTCTCCTTCTCTCCGTCGACAAAACCTCGCGCAGTTTCTCCTCTGCCGTTCTCTTCACAGGTTCCGAGCAGAAGCTACGGCCGCTCTCTCCCTCTCTCCACTGCCGCCTCCTCCTCATCTTTCTCCTCCTCCACCGATGTTCGTTTGTAGCAACTGGCTCGACGCGAATCGAGTTACGAATCTAAATCCCAGCGTCCGAATCACGGACAATACCGTCGATTTGCAACGTCGATCTCTCGACGAGACGCGACGAACGATCGCTGGACGCGAGGCACCTGTTCGATACGTTATCACAGTTCGCGACCCGTTATCGATCGTATTGACACGGTGTCGGCCAGATCGCTACTTATCGCTACTCGTTTCTCCAGCTTCCCGAATTGCTCCTCCGTACACCTCCGCCAGCACCGCCGCGGCCGCGAGTACCACCACCACCACGTTCCCGACGACGACCATCTCCGAAGCGTGTGGCCACCACTCTCGGGCTTCTCTCTTCCAGTCGCCTTTCCCCGCCACTCGATGCCACTGTAGCCAGCAGCAGCAGCAGCAGGATCGACGCGGCGGCGGCGGCCACACGGGAACCTCGTTACAACACGAGAAACGATACTACACGGTGGTGGAAAGAACGTGGTCGTTGCGAGTCTCGCAACGCAACGGAACTTTAGTGCAACTGCGGCGAGCAGCTGACGCGGAATCGCTTCGTGCCCGACGAACAGTGCGCGTGTTCTTTACTCTCTCGGATCCTCGCGCGCCGCGCCGTCGATCTTTCGTCTCGCGACGCAGCGCGCTGGTTCGCGCGCGCTTCGTTCCCAACGACCACGGCACGCTACGTTTCGGGATACACCGACAGAGAGGCAAACAGAGAGATAGAGAGAGAAAGAGAGAGTGTGTGCGTGCGTGCGTGCGTGCGTATAGTGTCAGGGATTTAAAACACATGTCTCGGGTCGCTTTCCCTGTCGTCAAATGAATCGAATCTCGCTGATCCGACGGACGGTAGCCAGCCTCGTCGACGCGACGCCCGCGTCCAGCGTCGTTTTCTCTACGAAATCTCCAGCCACGGTAAGTCGTTCGCGGTACCGACGAGTCGGTCCTATCTAATCACCGTCGATCCTTCAATCGCGATCGAACCCGCGCTAAGGATCAACTGAATCTCGATCGATCGTCGCCAGTAAACATCTCGTTCTATTTCGTCGACGACGCGTTCCTTGTTCCAATGGAATCCTCCTCTCCGGTGATCTGCGCGTCTCGCTTAGCGAGCAACGAACTGGACGTTTTAGAAAGATCTTCGAACGACGTCTCTTCCTCGACTCATGTCAGATAAGTCGATTACTCTCGATCGAACGTCTCGTACGACCAACGTTTAAACGGATAAAAAACGATTCGTGCAGTCGACCGACTCCGAGACGGAGCCGCGGAATTCAGCCGACGAGGATCGAGAAGAGGAGTAGACGGATCGCGTAGATCACGGACAGAGGATCGAAGACGGCGCGTATCCGTCTGACAGCTGACGACGAGTACGCTGCAGCACTGTGCTAGATGTCGCCAACGACGATCTTCGCTTTGTCCCGCTCGTGATTGCTCGTTTTCATTCTCCTCTTCTTCTTCTTGGTCTTCTTCTCCTCTTCTCCGTCCGCGGTTACCCTCGAGCGGCTCTGGACCGTGGGCAAAAGCGGCCGGGCAGCCTCGCTCGCATACCGTCGTATAATACCCAGACCTCTTCTCGTCTCTCTACGCACCTGTTGCGTTGTTGTTGTCGTCGTCGTCGTCGTCGTCGTCCCGCGGCCGCGGCGTGCTCAGCTGCACGCGACAGCTCGTGCCATTTACTTCCAGTTACGAGAGCCCCGACCACTTTGCCCGTTCGCAGTGCGGCCTTTTCCTATTCTTCTTCTTCTTCTTTCGGGTTACGAATAATAGAAGAGAGATCTTACGAGACAAACGTAAATCTCGTTGTAGGTCGACGTACTCGTAGTCAGAATCCTTCCTCGAAGCTTTCGTACGACGATGATGATCCGAGATTTCATTTAATCTTGTAATGGATGTCGCGATCGACCGTGAAATCGTTTCGTATCCGAAATTTGACTGACTCGATGTACTGACGTGTACAAGAATTCCTGGTGAGGAATAACTTCTCTCCGTTTCCTTCTGAACGATACAACGACACGCAACAACGGCAGCAGCAACAGAAATGCTTCCAGGTGAAGCCGATCTCCGATAATCTCGGGAGTCGAGCACGCGAGGCCGCGGCTCTCCCTTCTCTTCCTCTTCTTCTCCTTTTTTCATTCTCATTCCGATTCTCTTTTCCTTTCTCTGTCTCCGTTCGTTTCTCTCCTCCTCTCGCTCCGTTCGTTTTCCTTTTCGCTCCGTACACGATTTTCTCGCTCACTCGCCGCGCGACCGAGTTTATAGAGAGGAACGATTACCGCATTCGAATTCTCGACTGAACGGACACACCGGCTAATATCGGTGAGGTACCACCAGGAAAAAATAGGTAAATAAGAGAAGTCCGAGACCTTTGCCGCCTTTCCTATTTACGAACCGTACACAGTGCAGTCAGAGACGCGTGCTGAACGCGATCGTGGCATCTTTCACAACGAATTCGTGTTTAAAAACAAGTATGTAATCGCAACGATTCGAATCCGCTCAACGAAAATCGCTTTAGACTTGAAAAGGTGGTGCGACTTTGCAAGGCTCTTTGCTACGAGCCACAGAAGGCAAGGGTAATCGATAAAAAAATGACATCCGTTGATCGATTCATCGACCCTTTTCCCCATGAACATCGTTCGTCGATTATGGAATACGCGATCTCAGAGGGTCAAACGAGGGGTTGAGTGAAAGCTCAAAGTTGTGAACCGCGACAAGGATCGAGATCCCGTCCTCTCCTATATCCGGGGGCGATTCCGACCGAGATTTGCATAGAATCTCGACGCGTTCTCCTACGGTTTGAAAAAAAATGCGGCCAAACCTACGAGACGGATACGTGCATCGAGTTTAGAAAATTAAAAGTGATCTTTAAGAGTCTGAACCGTCGATTTTCACTCTCGATTTCATTCGACCCACGCGGACGCGTTTTCCTTTTACTCCTTATCAGCCGTACTTACCGAACCACGAATTTTATCCAGTCATAAAAAAAAAAATTGATATCCTTACAAAACGTAGGGACGTTTACGTGATATGTACATACAGAAAATCGAATCATCTCTAAATGATACTTGAAATTCCTATCTAGATTTCATTTTCTAAATTACCATTAAGAACGTGTTGTTTGCTACAAAAAAACCGTAGTAATTAGCCGTGGCATCGATTAGCCGGTGTTTAACGCGGCATTCCGCGTACGAAAGATCGTCGATCGGGAATCGGTTCGACAGATGACGATGAGCGCGGCTCGTAACTGCGCGGTTCTCGGAACCCGAGCGAAACCGGCTGTTACGGATTTCCAAAGAAAGATTCCATAGATTGGTTACGCGTGACTCGTGAAAATATACGGAGGATCTAGCGCAAATATACGACGGAAGGTTACGACAATAATCGTCGCCGATAGACGATAGACGGGGCTCGCGTTCCTTCTCTCTCTTTCCCGTTCTCCCTCGATCCTTTCGTCTCTTTCAGCTCACCAGGCCTTGATCCGAATTCGAATTGCCGCGAAACTACGCTCGTATATACAAGTACCACATATGTATATAAATCCGTTCATCGTCCCCCCGTTTCGTCGCATTGTTCCTCGGTGATCCGCGATCGATCGAGAAAACGTAATTCCCTAACGGGTTCGATCCGATGCTCACTTTTGCCTTTCGACGATGCATCGGCATCTGATCAATGCGGTAATCAAATATCGCGTAGATATAAATAGTTCACGTTTTACTAAAGAAATAGAATAGTGATTCATAGGAAGAGGGCGAGAGAGAGAGAGAGAGAGAGAGAGAATATATGTGGAGTGAAAAATACGTAACGTCTCTTCTACTATCCTTATCCAAAGGAGTACGTACTCTACTTTTATACGAATAAGCTTGAAAGCTTGACCGAAAGCTCAATTGGTTCGATTCGCGAGAAGTATCCTAAAAAAGCATTCGGCACTCCCGACTCCTGATACGGAGCTATCACACTGACGGACGCGCTTGCTTTCTTTTTTTTCTAGTAAACCGTCGTGATCGACGGTGAAGACGAACTCGCACGCAGGGGGCGATAGAGAGAGAGAGAGAGAAAGAGAGAGATATATATAGGAGCGAAAAAGGGTAGAGGGATATAGAGTGAGAAAAAGAGGAAGATAAATCGATAAAACGAAGATGAGGGTGACGCGATGCTCGTCGAGTCCGTTAGTCCTAACTCTGGCCCTGGCTTTTGCGTCGACGATCGGTCGTTGCGGCGCCTCGGAAAGCATAATAGGTGAGTCTTCAATTGGACCGTGCGCGCGTCATGTTCAAGCGTGACACGTAATAACATAGATAACGTAGATTATACTTGCGATCGAGGAAGGAAAAGCGCGTTTCGCGGATTCAGCAACGATCCGACCGATCGAGCGATCGAAAGTCAGAACGAACGCGAGAACGAGGCGCGTCACGCTCCATTTACGAGTTTTCAACGCTCTATTCTTAGTCTGTCTCTATTATCTGCCGGTTTCTAATCGCAATTATTATCGCTTTCCGCCACGAAAACAACGCGATCACGTACTCATTCGTTGCGCCCCTACCTACCGATCGAATTTCACGCGAACCTCGTTAAACGGTCTGCAATCGAGATACGAGTACACAGCCGCTCGAACGTAAGTGCACGGTCATTAGTATTTCACTTCGTAATGCCCTAGGAACCGTGTTTACGTTCAATTAAATGTCCAGTGAAAACAGCTGGTAATTGTATACATTCTCACCTACTTATACTTTCGGTGTTCGGTCCATTAATTTTTGCATTATTCCAGGTTCAGTATAATTTATGCGAGCGACAGGCTAGAATCAGGCGTACGCTGAACTTAACACTAGATCTACCAACGGGGGTCAAAATTACTTGTTTCGCATTTCTTATAATCATATTTTCAGTAAACTTTGACAGTAGATATTAGAGTTATCGTTGCAATAAATATTCATAACAATTTCGATCGCATATCACAAAGAATGGCACGTGTCTACGTACTTTCGAGCGGCAACGTACAAAACGGGAACGAGACGCTCGATCTACGTACTAAAGATGAGCCTCTCGGAGATTTTCCAACCATTCCTTATGAACGCGTTTTCTCGTTTCGTTTTTCGTCCGTCCTCGCTTCGAAACGGAACTCTGGCCAGCAGCTAACGAGAGAACAAAAGAGTCCGTACGAAAAGGGTACCAATCGCGGCGAGAGGGGAGAAAATGAAAAGAGAGCGCGCGAACGCGAACACGCCAACGCCGCGTTCTTACTCGCACGCATTCCTGCGCACTTTAGAATAAAGAAGAAACGCGAAGGATCCTTCCAAGGGATTTTCCGTGGTAAACGGGTGAAGCGTCTCCGTTGCAACACGATCCGTACGCGATGTTTCTCTCATCGTGCTAAGCCTGGCAAAAAGTTTTTGATCAAACGTAATAACACGCGATGTAAAACGATGAATTGCGCATTAGCCGAGCGCATAGTTCAAAGACTTTTAGCCAGGGGTAGTACGTTGAGTTGCCGCGATTTTCGACGATCTACGATGTCCGAGAAGCTTCGGGAGCGAGGGGACGAGACGAGAAACGTAGAAAGAAAGCGAAAGAGGGGCGTTGAGGGGCGATAGGGAGGTTGGGAGCGCACGATTGCTAAAAAGGGCTGCTTAAAGTGTGCAGGAATACGTGCGCGAGGGAACCGAGAGGGACAATGCGATGGCGAGAGCATTCGCTGACCTCACGCAACACGCGGATCGGCTGGGAAAAGGCTGACCAAACTCGTCGACCCCTCGTAGATACGTTTGCCCCTTCGATGCGCGCATCGATCGGTCCCACCCGGATATCGATAGCTGTTTCACATCACGTAAGTAGCCTAGCCGAAAACTCGGATTAACCGAAACGGAGCTGAAACGCGTTTCGAGGAACGCGAAGGTCAACCCTCGTCATCGTAGTCGCCCAAGTCATCGTCGTCGTAGTCGTCGTCGTCGTCGCCGTAATTGTCGTTGCGGATTATTCGCGGAACCGTAATCGATATCGGGCAACCGCGACGCGCACCGGTCGTGTCGCGGCTGACGCTTCCGTATACGTATAACGTACACGTGGATCGAGTCCTATTCATTTTGTTTACTTATTTAGGTGAGTCGAGTCCGCAGGAAAACGAATCTCGCATCATACAATTACGTTTGCCGTAAAACTAAATCGAGCCAAACTGCATAGACGAATATCGTAACAGTTGATGCGGCAGCTCGAACGACAAATTCTTGCATTTTTTTTTTTTATTACGATGCAACGAGGAAGATCGAGCATTCCAATAGAGATTAATGGAGATCATATTATCGCTAAGCATAGCTTCTATTCAGCATCTAATAAAGCTAATAATACGCGTACGAAGGAACTTTCCGTCGATATCTATCATTCGCGCAAAGTGGGACTCACCTGACCGAACTGTGACTCGATCCACCGCCTTACCGCACGCACGCACAATGCCTAGCATTGTCACTTATCGCCTATGCTTGCAGGAAGCCGAGAAACGTGTGACGTAGAGGGAGAGGACTTCACGGTGGACAAGATCCCTAACACCAGGTGTTTTAACTGTTTGTGCAAGGTAAGTTTCTCACGACCATCTCTTAAAACTTCTACCGCTAAAAAGGTCGTTGGCCAGATACGTGATGAAGTAACAGATAAGTCGAGCATGCAATGAGAATTTGTATAAAATATATAAAAATATTTTTACCCAATGTTTAATATTACTTGGCTGTTGAAAAACTACTCGTCGGGGTGACCAGACGGATTATATTTACGAGACAGTGAAGAATCTCGGACGCGACGGCGCGTTCGGAATTCGCTTATCTGAGACCTATCGGACGCGAAAATTCTTTTTACGCGGGACAGCACAGCGCGAACGTTCGCAGAGCTTTCTAACAATTATCTCGCGTTTGCCTCGTTCGGTTCGTTGACTCGTTCGGGAGTATTCTCGCGAGCTGCTCAATGGAAATCGATCGATCTCATCCTAGATGCGTGCAAACATCGATAGCCACTATTGACAATTCCCTGGCGAATAAAACGACACGCGAACGATTGCTGTTTTCAAAAGTGACGAGTAGAATCTTCGTTTCGCGAGGACCACCTAACGATATGCGTCGACGAGAGAAGTGGTAGCAGATAGATTCTGACAACGAAGATCTTTCGTTTTCGCTGGTGGTCGCGAGTCGATACAGGAGTCCAACGTGATCCGTAATCTTAATTATTTTTTCCGAAGCCGCGGCGCGATGCGACGACCTTCTCGCGTTCTCGCTACGAGACCGGCCGACGTGACCCGCGTTAAATTGGTTTACGTAATTCGAACGCCAGATAAATCCCAAGGGTTTAATTATAGACCGCGATAACGAAGGCGAGAGAGAAATAATTACGTTCGATCGATCGCGCTTCGGCCTCTCGTCTAATCTCTCGCTGTACCGTTCGCGATGCTATTATGCACGTATGCACGCGCTCATGTGTTTTCGTCGTTTTGCAGAACGGGTTCGTCGAATGCAGGAAACAGCAATGCCCGAGTATCGAGGGTTGTTACACGCTGCTGGAACCGCGCGAGGACGAGTGCTGCCACAGGTGCAAAGGTACGTGCAAAAGCCGCGAGAAAATCCGGGTAACCGTCGATCCAGCTACGCTATCGCTCTAATTTCTTCCACGCAACGCGGTTCAACCGAGTCCCCGCGAACGAGTTCTAATCCGCGAGAGAGACGCCGCTTCACGCGGAGCGAGAACGGCCGATGGAAAGAGCGTGTGCGAGTTTCAGCGAGTGGAATGTCCGGGGCGGAGCATTGTTCCCATGGCACAAAGGCGCTTCTGTTCGTCGATACGTACGCGCCGATAAACCCGAGGAACTTGGACTGTTTACGACTGTTTACACCGGCACCCGTTCCGCCGACAGATGCTTCTCCGCTCGCGGTCGCGGCCTCCCTTATCTTCCAACTCTTCTCTATTAATTACATTCGCCGTCGCGCAAGCTTCCGTCTCGCTTCGACCGAGTTTCCCATCCTCGCGAGACGCGAAAACTAGCACCGCGTTCCCTTTCGTTTGTATCCTATGGAAACGCGCGTTCTCGTAGGGGTCATACGGATTCCAAGTTTTACAGAGGACATTCGTTCAATCATTCTTAGAACGATTACATTGGTCAGAGAACCTTTTCTCTAAGCTCGGTTTCCTGTATCGATACGATAGTAAGTAACAGAAAATGAGCAGTTTTCGCATCAAGGTCTTCGATTAATCAGCACGCGCTCGAATCTTTGCTCCCCCGTCATTCACTGTTCACGTTCTAATCACGTACATGTACATATACGTTGTTTTGTCGAATAAAAAGGTTGCATGCGGAACGGAGTTTACCACGGATCCGAGACCGAATGGACGGAGGGAAACGATTCATGCAGAATCTTCACGTGCAAAGCCGGGGTGATCACCGAGTCCCGGTTGCATTGTTACACACCGTGCTCGAATCCTATCCCGCCCGCGGCCGGGCAATGCTGCCCGATGTGCGCAGGTAAAAAATTTCTACAACAAACGAATTGATTATTCTACCATACGAATTTCGTTGAATCGGCTAAGATGGACGAGATTCTGGGTAAAGGCGACTATATAACAATATAATATTGCAGGATGCCACTTGAACGGGCAATTGGTGACGGCGGATAGATCGGTGACCACGAGCGAGGATCCGTGCGTGACTTGCAGGTGCAACGCTGGCAGACTGATCTGTGCCAAGCAAGCCTGTCCCGTGCTTCACTGTCCCAGTTCCAGGATCGTTCACGACCCAGGCAAATGCTGTCCGCACTGCAAAGGTGCGTATCCGCGCGTATCTTTATCGTTCGGAAATCAGAGAATCGGGTCGAGAATAGGCAAGTATAGAATGTCGTCACGTTTGTTCCACGAACAGGTAGCGGGAGATACTTGTCACCGCCGAAGGGCGCGTGTATGCTCGGGGCAGGCGTTTACAATTCCGGTAATCAGTTTCATCTGGACCACTGCACACGGTGTAGTTGCTCGAATTCGGTAGTCTCGTGCACGAGGGAAACCTGTCCGGTTCACGACTGCCCAGCCGAGCATCAGATCACCCTAGCAGGTCGTTGCTGCCCGCAGTGTCCCGAGGTCGAGGAGATCCGACCGTCTTGCACTTACGCCGGCAAGACTTACGGGGCGAGTATTCATATTACATATACTACAAGCGTATCGCTCAAAATTAATGGTTGTGAAGCTTATCCGATGTACTCGGTACAACCGGATTAATTTCGTTCGAAGATTTAAAGGTTCTTTTTTGTCCTAGGCAGGATGGTGAAAGTTGGAAGCTTGACTCGTGCAAGGCATGCGCTTGCATGCAGGGTAAAGTGCGATGCGCGATGCCCATGTGCCCCCCGTTAAACCTCCCTTGCCCACCGAATTCGAGGCTGGAGCACCCCGAGGGTCAATGCTGTCCTCGTTGCGTCGAAAGTGAGCACATAACTATCTACATAGGCTACACGAGTTCTATCGATTGATCATGGATCATCCCCGATTCTATTTATGATTAGGTGACGGTGTATGTACCGTGTTCGGCGATCCTCACTATCGGACTTTCGACGGGAAATTCTACAGTTTTAAGGGCGCGTGCAAATATCAACTGGCTAGCGATTGTTCGGATCACACGTTCAGCGTCCGAGTGACCAACGACGCCAGGTCAACGAGAAACTCAGCTTGGACCAAAACGATAGCGATCAAGGTTTCTAATCTAAATGGAATATCCAGTGCATACTGACTGTTAAGTAATTGTATTCGATTTACGAGGAATGCGATTTCTAATTCGTAGGTGGGCGACTTGAAGGTGAATCTCGGGCAGAAGATGCGAGTGAAGGTGAACGGGAAGAAGGTCGAGGTGCCGTATCGCGTGGCGAACCGGCTGGACGTGAACCGGACAGCGGACAGCATAGTCGTGAGCACGCAGATCGGAATCAAGGTTCTTTGGGACGGGATCAGCTTTCTCGAGGTGTCCGCGCCGACTTCGTACAGGGGCCGGCTCTGCGGTCTGTGTGGGAACTTCAATTCCCTGCCGAAGGACGATTTTACGAATCGAAAGGGCAGATTGTTGCAAGACCCGCAATTGTTCGGACAATCGTGGCTGGTAGGCGCCAAGAAGAATTGTGCCAGGCCAAAGCCACTACCACCGAATTTCGATCGGAACAGACGTTGCAGAGGTCGAAAAGATCACAGGTGAAGCAAACAACTTATAAGACCGCGAATTTTCATAATAAACCGTTCATCGATCAACCGATACTCAGAAATGCTAATTTCTATCTCGCAATGGTCGTAGATTATGCAACAGGCTGAGATCGCAGATCTTTGACGCCTGCCACAAGAAGGTGAATCCAACCATGTATTACAAGGCGTGCCTTCAGGACATGTGCGAGTGTCCGACAGAGAATTGTTACTGCGAATCGTTCACCGCGTACGCGCACGAGTGCAAGAGGCTCGGTATCCAATTACCGCATTGGCGAAAATCGACCAGATGTCGAACCGGTTGGGACCAGTTCGCAGAATCTAGGACGTTGATGATCGGCTCGCGTTTTCCCTGATCGCCTCCCCGTTCCATGGAACGTCGAGAGTCGGAACCTCGGGAATCAGGAAAGGAGGAGTCGAGATCGAACAACTCTTGCGACCGAACGAAATTCTACAGCTAGTCACCGCGTTCGAGCGGACGCGGATACGCGCGACGATCCGCGGCCGATCGAACGCATCAGTGGTCACGTTCGAATCAGCGGCGACGTTTTCATCGCGTGGTACCGGTGAAACGATCGCCGATAACGGCAGAGTAGAGCTCGCTCGCCTTTTTTCGAAGCTCGGACGAGTCCGAAGCACCGTGCAGTATTTCGGCCGATGAGCAGGCTCGCGGCACCGTTCGTTTACGTTTACGTTTATATTATCGGCACAACCGACCACGGTCAGTCGAAATCGTGGATACAGACTCGTCACGGGTTCCCTGTTCGTCTATAATCTACATTTTACGTAAAACTGGACCGTCTTTTAACTTATCCATTTGGCAAAGTACTTGAAACACGAGCTCTCGTATTCGTGGATTTCGCGTTGTGTCGAGGACATATGTACATACATTTTATATATATACACATATACGTTACTTTTCTATCCATAGACTTAAGCCCAGTCCCCCTCTATACGCTCTTTTGATCCGCGTCAAAATCTATGTACACCGATCAGAAATCTTACGAGTTCAACGATCTAACAATCACATTTTCACTTTTCTGTTCGCAGTGCTTCTCGTTTTTTTGCTTACACGCGTTAAAACTGTATATAGACCAAGTGTGGACACGCGCGTATGCGTACTTATATTCGCCAGTTACGAAAAGTATTGGCGCATCAGCCGTCTATTTTGTATATTGGTATGAACGAAAGGAAATGCGCTATATCGGTTACGCGTTTGTAGCACGTCCCGATGCCTAATTATAATACAGACTGACCCAACCAGCAACGTTTCGCGGATGGCAGTCATAAATATACCCTCGAGATAATCCAAAGCTTTAGCCAATTTGTCTATATCGATCGTAGCGTAGAAATATATTGTGGCACGCATCGGATACGAACAAAATAAACGAACGAATTGTTTATTCGTAAACTTATGCTTGATATTTCGTCCGACATCGGACGAGCAGAAGCGAGAAAAACAATGTGCACTTACCCCTGCCGATCTGCTTGGGAAGCCTCCGAGAGACGTCCAAGGTAATGCCAAACGAATTCCTCCGGCCGAAATCGCGTTCGCATCGTCGACGAGGCTGCTCCACTTACATTTTCCCGCGATGTCTGACCTTCGTGACCGAAATGGCGCGCGTAAATTCATATCTTTGGAGTCTAGACGAACGTATCATCGTCGACTAACTCGAAATTGTACGCGAACCGAACATGACCTGCGCATAAAGGAATATATACGCGTTTACGAGTACGTTCGTCGAAAAATTATGCTCGCAAACGTTGACACGACGTGAGAGATAGAATTAAAAACGATTTGAGACGTACATGAGAAATTGACGCCGTGCGAGCCACCGAGCCGGTTAGGTTCCCTGGCCGTGGTGTGTGACGCGAGAACTGTTCACTGACGCGTTCAATCGATGCACCGTATCAAGATCTCGTCGATGATCGTCTAATCGAGAAACGTCTCGAACCTCCAGGATGCACTTTGTTCGTTGGACGGGGAAACGACCGACGTTCTACGCGCTCGAACGATTAAACTTTCGCGAATGAGAACATGGCGGCGGAACAAGTGGCGTCTTGGCGCTCGTGTCGCTCGAGCCGGCCGGGCGCTCTGCGCGCCACGTTTGAATCGACGTTCGCGGCCGAGAGAGACGTCGTTCGAAAACAGTCGCACGGAATAATTTTTCTCGTGACACGATTCGAAACTTTTATTACGACATTATAAATGCACAAAAACATTTTAAAAATATGTGTGTACGAGCGAACGTGTGTATAGTGTGTCATGCGACATGTGTAATCGAGAGAACAACAGACTTAATTACAGTTTCGAGAGTGAACGGAGCTACGCTATGTTTCGAATATATCCTTCGTAATTTTCTCTTCTTTATTTATTATAAGTGTCAACTGATTTTTTTTTATTTTAATCGTGTTCGAACAGACAAACTCGTTTGCCGCTTTACTCTCGACCGAACGTTTCTTTTTCACGTTTCCATCGTGTTTTGTGTTTAAGAGAGAAAACCAAATGGCGCGAACGACAAATGAGGAAATTTTTTTGAACCGCGGTCAACGAATGTGTCTATCCGACTTCTTATCGAAAACTGCATAAATGATACCGTTCTCTACCCCTTACCTTTAAAATGTCTAATAAGAAACGTGATCAGAGCGTGAAGGATGTCAAAGAGGGAAAGAAAAGGAAAGTCCATCGATCGATTAAAAGCAAAGAAATTGATAGAGTTTGCAGAGGTCATGTAAAGGAAGTAGATTAATTCTTTTTTTAAATAGTAGATTGACAAAAATCGTGAAAAAATCAACGACATTCACTGAAACTTTTCCTCATTCCGCTGAAACGAATACACGCGAGTCGTCTCGATCGAACGACACTGTAGGTCCAATTAAATCGGATAAATCGCATCGTTCAATCGAGACGAATCGGGTCCCGTGTCCGCATGCCGCACTTATATACATTCGTCTTCGCGTTCTCGAATCTAATCGATAACTACAATTTTCCTCGAAATCGTTCGACGACTATCCCTGACAATAAGATTCTTTTTACGTTACGAATGCCGCGAAGAGACTAAAAAGGGCGCTACCAGAAAGACGTCACGCGGTGACGAGAGACAGTCACGCCGCTTGCTCGACGTCGAGCAGGGAGGAAAAAAGAATTTCCTTCTCACGACGAATTCCTCATTCAGTTTTTTTTTCATCTCTCCTCAACTTTTTTTTGTTTAAGTATAAAAATAGATTTCGAACGTGGGTTACGTAATCTCGCGTTAGCAGCCGGTCGATCCGTGGTACCACGTCCTGAATACGTGAGGATTCAAAGATCGATCACAGGGTAAAACGAATTCGAAACACTTGTCACCGAACTCGCATCGAATTTATTATTGTTCTCGTGATTCAATGAAAATCAGCTGTTCGTCAGATAAATTAGAACGAGACCACCGGCGAGACTACGTAAATTCGTCCGATCGAAGAACAAGATCAGATATCACCCGTTGAATAAGGGGGCGAGAACTACGTCACGATATTACTTATTTATTGGAACACGCTTAATAAGACGTACGTAATTAATAAATGTCTCGGTTTTGTTCCGAGAACTCGTATCTTTCCGTTACCGGGCCAACAACGGGACGATGGACGAATCAACAAAACATAAGAGTTTCAAGGTTTAATGTACAACGCTTAAGAATAACGATTGTAACGATAATGCTATTCTCTCTCCATCTCTCTCCGTCCCATTCTCCCATTCTCATCCGCTAATCGATTCCCAGTATAGATACTTATCGCGTCTGTTTTCTTCCTATCTGTCTATCCTTAAGCTATCACCGTTCTTTATAGAGATTCGCCGACGTGTATCGTGTACGCATAATTTAATTTACTTAGCAACGATGAAATAAAGCTACGTAGGATGATCACCGGTGAAAAGGTACGAGTCCCTGTGAATAAACTTCGTTCCGGTAAAATCTTTTCGACGAGTGACCGCAGTCGTGTGTTTACCCAACGTGCATCTACCTATATAGAATCCCACTCGAGAAAATCGTGTCTCGTCTCATCGTTGGACTATTCCTTTCGTCACTCGACGACTCGCGAATCTTAAATGTATAAGAAAAAAAAAGATACCCGTCAAAGTCAACGAGTCAATTAACTGTATATATATATATATGTGTATGTATATGTATAATATATGTATATATGGTATATATATATATATATATATTTATCTACGACAATTACGCGCAGTTAATCGACGAGTAATAATTATTATCCTACTATCGGGTGTCGGCGTATCAGCCGACTGAAAGAAAAATATCGAGGAGGAAAACGTCCCACAGCCTCCGATTCGTTACGTCGACTTCTCCTCCTTCCCTGTTTTTCTTCGGTGCCTCGGTGTCTTTTTTCGGATCTCGTTTTCGTCCTCGATAATGCGAGCCAAAACGAACTCGATAAAAAAGGCGAATATCACCGGAGCGAGAATTTCAGGCACGAAAAGAGCTCCGCTTCCGTATTGCCATTTCGACAAACGAATCTTTTTTTTTTTTAAAGGAAGCAGAAGAGACAAGTGCGTGTCTGAGTCTGTATAGTGTCTGTGTGTATACGTGTATTTTGCTCCGTCGATTTGCCCCAAGACGATCGACTAATAACTAAATGGAAACAAGGATTCGTACGAGCAAACATCTGTGTACCCCTCCTCTGGTCTTTCTGTGACTCGCGGATGCTTTTAAGGTACACGATTCTACGATACAGATCGCTAATTCATTTGAATAAAACTTTTATAAAGTATCTTCTTTTTAATCGTTAATCGTATTTTATCAACGTAGTATGCTAGCAGAGTTCGTCGAGCACCGTTCCTTGTAACGATTCCGCGAAACGATCGAGGAAAACGTGTTTGATTCGTGCCTCGATAACCGAGCAAGGAACAGCAGGAAACGAATATGATTGTATCGCATAATTTTGCTCCCGTACACGAGTTCGTACGTACGTAACGCGTAGGATAGACACTAGATAGATTGTATGTGATACGGACACGTGCACCCGTACAAGGTAAGTGTGTACAGAGACGAGAATCGCACCGCGGAGTGCATGGAAAGAGTCGACTGCTCCGGCAAGATGTGTGATACGGTTTCTACGAACGGTATTACCTACCGATGCTTATTCCCATATTTTCCAACGATGCACTTTTCGTACGGGTTTCAGTTTTCCGCGACATTTACGCGGACACTGATTCGGCTACGCCCGCGTGAATGCCGCAGAGGCGTACGAAGGAACTTTAAGGAAATTGGAAATTGAAACGCGAACAACGTGTAATAATTCGCGCCGACTCGTACGTGTCTAATAATAACGATGATAATAATATATAATTCGTTTTGTTCAATATGTATCGTTCGTGTATAAATAGGTTCAGACGTAGGTGTACGTGTACGTAGTGTATAATGTATACTCTGGAAGGCAACGGTACCGAAGATAATACGCGAAGAACGAGGATAGCAATTAGGAAATACCTTGTTCATTATCGATCGCATCGCAGATCAGAAGCGTAACGTCTCCTCGGCGATCGATCATAGTTTATTTTCATCCTTTCTTCTTACCTCTTCTCTCCTCACGATTCATTCGACGAATCAATCCGCGCGATATCCACGCGATACATTGGTCGCGTTAAAAATATTACCTACACGTATGTATATGTATAGCGGGTAAAACGCTTCTCGCGATCGAGAAGTGGGGAAAGGAAGAGAATGAACAGGGTAGAAAGGGGGTGGGGCGGGGGGTTTTGGGGGAAGCGTTTAGGTCAGGCTAGAGAGGGACGGAAGAGAAAGAGGATGATCAAAAGACGGTGAAAGCCCTGAGTAGCGAAGAGATCGAAAGGTGACGAACGTCGGAGGAAAAATGGTGGAGGAAATCGTAGAGCGTATGACGAGATTGAGACTAGCCTGTGACACTCTCTGATCGATTTAAATGTGTTGCACGAATTCTGGATTGAGAAACGAGAAACCCATAAACTCTGTCTGATCCAAGTTCATCATGAACAGCTTGTCCGTGGGCGTAAGGTCCGTCTTCTCCGATGTGAACTGTTTGTCGAAGTTGCTCACGTCCTTGCGATGTTTCTACGAGAGATCGCGCGTCAATCAACGCGTTTCATTCCTCGTCGTTCGTCGAATTGATGTCGGTTAGGTACTCACGATCTTTGGTTTGAACGGTGGTTGTACTTCCCGGTTCTCGATCTTCTCCCAGTCGATGCGTCGGAAGAACGCGTGAATGCGAACATCCTCCTCGCCTCTCAATCCGCAGCCGAGTCGCTTCACCGGATTCTTGGTGAGGAACTAAGAAAAAGGAGTTCGCGCTTATAAGACTCTGTTTACTTCGTCTGTGTAATAATCGGATCATGCACGTCGGAACCGACTTACCGCTTTGCAAATTTCCCTGGCTTCTTTCGACAAGCTCTTCGGATAGCTGACGTTGTGTTCCGTGATCGCTGCGAACAACTCTTCTTCGTCCTCTCCGTCGAACGGCGGCTGACCGACCAGCATTTCGTAAAGCAGCACACCGAACGCCCACCAATCGACCGATTTTCCGTACGGTTGGTACAGTATGATCTGCGAGCAAAACGATCGATACGTGACGACATCGCGCCCGTTTCCGGGACGATCGAACCAAATCGAATACTGACTTCCGGCGCGATGTAATCTGGTGTTCCACAAAACGTCTTCGTCGTTTTGTCCCCCGAGATGCCCTCCTTGCACATTCCAAAGTCCGCGATCTTTATGTGGCCATCGTGATCCAACAGTACATTGTCCAGCTTCAAGTCCCGATAGATGATGCCGCGAGCGTGAAGGTAGAACAGTCCGATCGCTATTTCGGATGAGTAGAATCTGCGACGAAAGTGTTCGTTTTTTTTTGTTGAAATAAAAAACATTCGAGGTGAATACGAGCGACGAAGCGTGCGATCTTCGGCAACTTACACCGCGACCGGTTCTTTGAACTTGCCGCACTGCTGTATCTGATACATCAGATCCCCGCCATTTACGTATTCCATCACGAAGTAGAGTCGATCCATAGTTTGGAAGCAGGAATGGAGCTGCACCAAGAACGGCGGTTTGTTCGACAGCGCCAGCACGCGTTTTTCTACCATGGTGCACTCGACGTCGTCGTCTTGGATGATGATGTCCTTTTTCAGGATCTTGATGGCGTACAGTTCGTCGGTTCCTTTCCTCTCCGCCAGCATCACCTTCGAAACCAAGACGATTGCTCCCGATTTTACCGTACAAACCAAACGAGTGAGATTAAAAGCGTGAAACTGACTTTCCCGAAGCTGCCCTTGCCGAGCACCATCAGGAAATTGAAGTCGCTGGCTCGTATCAGGTCGCTCTTGCCCATATTGTGAGGCACCTCCTTGTCCTGGGCGGTCGTCGACTTCTTCGTGACCGATGTTTTCTACAGAAACGGATCCGTGTTACGTTCGTTCCGCGTTCTCCGCTCGTACTATGCATTCTCTATTTTCTACCGAAGCTCGTTTCTGGTTCCGCCTAAAGGGAAACGTACTCGCATTTTGCTCTTTAATTCGGCGAGATCCACGCCTTCCTCCGGTACAGGTACATTGTAGAAATCTCCCTCTTCTTGCGTGAGCAGTTTGAACCATCCGCTGGCCGGCGCTTTGATGAGCTCCGATATCCCGAATGACAAGGAACCCATGAAGTCGTTCCTCGATGTCCGATCCCAATCCCATATCTCGATCAGGAGTCGCCTGTCCTTGTCCTCGGGTTTTAAATCGCTGAAAATAATAATCAAACTCTCTCATCTTCTACTTCCTCCGTCGTCCTCCTTACGCCTGTGAACCGTTTCATTGATTCTGAGCCAACGTACACAAGAAACACTTACAAAATGATTGTCTCGTTCCATTCTGGGTTCAACGACGATTTGATTGTCTTCGTTTTCTTCTTCACGTTGTCCGAATCCGGGATCAACTTCAACTTGACGTAAGGATCCGACAGACCGTTCGGATCCATTGGTATCAAGTTCCGGCCCTGTTTCACTGTAATCCCGAAACAGACTCGTTTCTCGCATCGCAGTAATAGAAAGGATCCTCATTGTCGGCTCTGATCAACGACCATTTAATGTCCGGACCTTGAGCAGCGGAAGGAGCTTAATTTCACCGGTAACGAACATCTAATAATAAAGATGTTGCGTTGGTCGGGGTCCTAAGTAGCTCCGCCGCTGCTCGGTGCCTCCGTTTGACGGAAGCGTCGATAAATCGATCGCGTGATATTTTTAATGCCAATTATCGCGGCAAAGCGTAAGATGATTAAATCCATTTGCGAACCGTAACGCGTCGCAACTGATCGAACTAAAATTATTCGCGTGTTACTGCACGGTATCTATCTTTTATTCACTCGAACGTTTAGGGAACACGAAAGACGATCAATCACGGTTCTAAGTCTTGCCTCATTAAAAATAAACCGTCATAAATACCATTACTTTGTCGAAAAGAGTCGGTACACGGGCGCGTGTACGTATAAGTGTGCACGTTGAACCGAATTATTTGGCACGCGATCGTGCCAGGTGCTGGGCGTGTAATAACGTTTCTAGGCGTATCGGGCGTCATCGAATCGAGTTATAAACTGAGAATTGAATTAAACGCGTTCACCGTGTTTCGAATTTCTTGCCTCGTAACGTTGGAGAAGAAGGCACCCCCGCTCATGAGTCTTGGCTCGTAAAACTGAGTCTGACGTTTTTAGAGTATGAATTTTCTGTTATTTCACAGGCATCGTGTAATGTTTCAGTCGAGATAATGCTGAATAAATTGGAATATTTGTCAGGCATTCTGACGAGCAGAGTTGTCCCTAAACTCGTGAACGGAGGTGTACGTATGCGTACGGAATACGAAATTAGAAATACACACCTTCGACGGTGAGCTTGTTTCCGGTACACGTGATGTGCAAGTTTATACGACCACGTCTCTCCGTGTGGTCGCATCCGCAAAGGTTCGGCACGCTCTCCTCGCATCTCTTGTGTACGTTCATGTCACATGCTGCGTTATCAGATCACGATCGATTATCATCGTTGTTCGAGCAGTTCCCTTGCAGCCAGACCGGCGATTTTTCTTTTTTTTTTTTCTTCTACCAACCCTTTCGAGACCAGTCGACTCTACCGAATCTAGCTTTACTCGTTTACATCTCTCTTCGAGTTCCTACAATTCCCTCGTTAAAAGGAAAATGTTCGTTTCGAAAGGGTTGAAGGTGGTGGTTCGAGCAGCGGGATGCAGGACAGGGGCACGCGGTTCTTCACGCGTTTCGTTCGGCATGCGGCGGAACTGCAGCTGCCGACCTACGTTCTATCGTCTCTTTCTCTTCTCCTCGACTCAACTTTTCTCGTTTACAGTTCTCGCGTCTCTCCTCCTCGGAGCTTGACAGATCGCGGCTGCAGTCGAAAGTGACTTGGTAATTCATGCACACTGCCTGTTCGTGCTCAGAGTGTCCATTCAGATAATACTGGATTGTAGTATAACGAAATTCGTTACGTATCGAACTACGAGGAGATTATCATAAGAAATCGAGATAACAACGACACAATTGTTTCATTAAATTTCATTACGTCTCATTTGTTTTTTGGGGCAATTTAATCTGATAAAACACCTCGTAATCTTCAACTGATTAAACAGGAGGAGATTAAGCAAAGACGGCGGTGACTACGATTAACGATAAGTGGTTGAACGTCTGAAGAAATATTTAATACACGATTTGACATCGATATACAGGGACATCGATATAAAGGTATAAAGGAAAAGAAGAAAGAATACGTTTTCCGTTTGAGAATCGATTGTCGAGAAAAGTCAGGGTGGAAGAGGAAACGAGCAGAGAACGTAGCAAACGATATTTCATTTTAGAGAAAGGGCTTATGTACAGATATCTACTGTGTACATTACGCGTACGTATACAGGACTGAAGATGACTAAAACTGTCGTTTGAATAAAACGAGCAAAGATTCTCAGATTTCGAATCGGTCGCCCTATATACGATACGCGTATCAATCTATAAACTGCGAATTCTTTTTGCGTAATAAAGATCTATGATTCAAATGATAAAATCTATACTACGATTTTTTTCATTTCAAAAGCAATTATGTGTATTGTGAGTAGCATATTTTGCACCGCAGTTTCCATGTGCATCGTTTAATAATTTTTTCTATAACGCATAAAATCCGCAGTTTAACGATGTAACATCGCATACGAGTTCTAAGTAGTTTGCAGTCGTAAGGGTTTGTCCAATCGACGAACGGAGGTAAGTAAGTAAGTAAGTAAATAGGTACGCATATGTATTCTGCGTTCACGTTTACTCGCGGATGGGCGAAAGGCAAATCTACGTAACGAGTATAACGTGTATCACGATAATTACGTAGCATGCACAACAATCATGTGTCGTATGTACAGTCTCTAGTATACAAATCCCGGACAAATACGTACAATGTTTCTTAAAGTGTACTAACAGATATGTACGCGAGGTGTAAGCAATGTATACTTTCAAGCTCTTCTTCTGTTTCGGAAGACCAAATTTCTCATCGGAATTAACTAAATTTTTGCAAACGCTGTTTCGAATCAGTCGCTTCCGACAGTAAAATCGAAAGGGTGAGAACACGTATACATTGACGTACATACTCGTACATCGCATTTGGTATCCGTGACATGTATGTACAAAACTGGGTAATCTCTTGGCTAAAGACGAGCGCGACGGGACGAAGAAGAAGAAGAGCGACGGGGTAACAAGCAAGCGAGGTGAGCTAAATAGGAAGAGGCAAACAACCAAGTGCAGGGCGTCCCTTGTTCCTTCGTGAACGGGTAGGGACATACGTGTACGTGAGTTTTACTTATCGTTAGGCAAACTCAGGGAAAGGTGCAAAGAGTTGAACACCGACATTCGGACGTCACGGACAAGGGGAGCGTTTCTTCTCGATTCTCGATGCTACGACGATAAACTAGGTAAAAGTGTAGAATCGAGGCCGTGCCGATACTCGAAGGATCCACTTGTGTCATACCCTCGTGTCGTATCAACGTTGTATCATTTGGAAAAAAATAATAAGAACGAACTATATAAAAAACGATAAAATAAATTGTTCTGCGCGATGGTGGCGTGCGAGAGTACGACGCAAGCGGACTCGCACCGTAAGGACAAAGATACGAGGGAAAAGAAGCGCAGATTTCGAGAGGCGAAACGAGTTGGATTTCTCGAACTAACGATAAGTAAGTACTCGCGATTTGCGATTTGCTCGTCGAAGAATGCATAGAGAATGAAGAGATTCGGAAGATGAACAACGCCGAGAGGTACGAGGGGGAAAAAGTTTCCGCCGAGAGGAACGATTACGTAAAGGTCGCGACCTTTCGTCCAAGTCGTTCTTCTTTTTTCCACTCGCGAGAAACCCTTCGAAGCTGTATCGACCGATCGTTTGGTCGGCTCGTACCGCGGATGGGAGGTGTGATTTTTTTTTTTTAAACGAGACCGATCGAACTGCGTGATACCGAAGAAGATGGGAGGAATTAGCGATGAGACGTGTACGATTCGGACGATCGTTTCGAGCTTAAAGAGAGTCGGAGCATAGTTAGGTGAGCAAATATACGTTGTTATTGACGGTGCAAGCGAACTCGTTTCGAACTACTTTGATCGGAGATCTACGCGAGATCGAGAACGGAACAGTGCCGGATATCTGGCAAAAATCTTTCGCGGGCGTACGAGTGACTGGCGTGTACGCTGCTAAGTGGGAAGTCGCCCCGGCTAGATTAAAACCGGAGACGGCGACGTGAGTTTAACCCTTTCGCAGCCTCGTGCACTTTTCCTTCCCCGATTAGACGTTAAATCGGTTTGGCTTGGTCGAATCGCTTCGAGGCGAGCGAAACGAGTATATCGTTTTGACACGGAGAAAGCTGCTCGACTGCTGTTCCCTCTCGAATCTAGAGGAAGGCGAACTGTTGTCTCGAAGATGCGCTAAGTGAGACGCGTGCGAGGTCTAGCCGCTTCGTATTCCTATCTATGTATACGTATGTATGGAGCTGAGACACTTTCGTTTTGAGTCGTCTTTTGTTTTAATGCTTTTTGGTTTAGCTACCTGAACATTTAAGTCCCTGCTGCGAGATACCGTGAAGCATCGAGCCGCAGTGGTCGCAGAAGGTCGGCGTCAGGTACGTGAAAACCTCCCATTTGTGTGCGGTGCTCATCTGGGAACAAGAAACAGCAGCCCGGGAACGCCCGGTCCGTCATTTTGATCTGATTCGGCTTCCGGCTCTGACGAGCGACGGCGACGACCAACCAATGTATGCGCCTAACTGCTCTAACTAAGTCGAGTCCGACGCCTGTTCCCTCGCTAATTCGTAACTCGATGAACCTCGGACAAGGAGTCGGGAGTTTTTCATAAACGTCGAGGAAGGACGATGATTCGAAGCGGAATCGACTCGTCTCGATTTCGAGATTCTGAATAGCCTTGAAGAGAAGCTTCTTTCCTCTCGAGCGAAGCGAGAAATTGTCGCGGGTAAACCTATTAAAGGGTAACCAGCTGGTCTTCTTGGGACCCGGGGTCGGTGGATTTGCTCTCTCGAAATTGGATTCGGCCCGTTCTTCCTCTTAAAGTTCCATCGCGAGTCACAATGAGAGAAAGAATGCCGGTTGAAGAGCGCAGGTTCGGATCGCGAAAACGCCGAGTGAAGAACTAGATTAATGGAGCCTGGAAACAGATGCGATAGAAGAAAGAGGAGGAGAGCAGGAACGGCTCCTTCTTCGGCTCAATTTTTCACCCACTTATTCCTTTCCGCCTCCTCGAGCCTTTAATTAATTTCTACGCCGCTCTTTTCAAACGCGTTCCATACCAACGCTCTTCCACCAATTCTTTCCTTTTCTTTTCTTCTCTTACGGTTTGACCGCCTCTGTCTCACCGGCACGGCGTGTGTCCATAAAGATACCAACTAAATTCCCACGATTCGCAATTCAACTCTCAACGGAATTGTATCGTGCAGAAGTATTGTAAGAACCAAATGGCACGTTACCATCCACGAGTATTTGCTTAAGGACGTATTGGCTATACAGTCAATTGCAAAAGTTTATGCACGTTAGAAACACATTTTCTAAAAAGACATCAGACGTCGGAAGAACATTGCTAATAATACACAAAAAAAAAATTTTCGATTTTTCCGAGATTTTTCCAAGGGGTACCCCTTCAATTTCTTCCAAATTTTCGTTTTTGGCCAATAACTCCCAAACCGCTGGACTTATGGAAAAATTGCATCAGACCTTTCTTGTAGAGGACGACGAGAGCTACAATTTCCATGTCAAAA